TTCATGGTCGGTGCCTTAACGCTCATCTCGAACCCCCCCACCCCCCCGGCAACTTCTTAAAAATCCACAGACTGTCAGCTGCACAAAGTGTCACTTTCAAAAACTCTTTGGAATTTGATCCAGTTGGGACAACACAATGTTTGCCAGAATATTAACTGAAGCAGAGGAAGGCTTTTGAAAAACATTTCAGTGTACACCTCTGTGACTGACAGCTTTTATTACTCTGTCTGACACCATGGGGATTGTGCTGACGCTGTGAAAGCAAACCCACCCATCTGGTGCTATGGTCAGTCCAAGGCGGACAGCAACAATTTGTATATAGCTCTGCTCACTGCTGATTAAAATCAAACAATATTTCTGTATGGGAAAACTACCTGCACAACATGCTGCTATGAGACTATTCGTTATGTGAAGTAAATCATATGAAACATAGCGGCACTTTTTTATTGACCATTATGTCATTCTAGAGATTCTTCTTAGTGGAAATATGGACCTTTCAGATCAGTCAGCTTCATCTGAGAAAAAGAATTAGATCTGAGTTAAAAAGAAAGTCGAGCTGATGCAAAAAAACGGTGATAAAACTGTTTGGTGACAGCAAAACATAAAAGCCTGTTGGCTTCCCTGTCGAAACCTCAGTGAAATATAGAATTGTCCTTCACAGAACATTGGATTTTTGACAACTTGAACAAATATCCCTGTGGATGACAAGTGCTTATCCATGGAGTTGTTTCCCTGTGTCCTCCCTCCCTCCCACCTGTGCTGTCTCTGTCTATGGAAAAGCAAACAAAGAAATGGAGGCAGTGTAACGTCATGGCATTTATGGATGAAGCAGCTTTTGTCACATTGCAAATAACAGCAATGAAAAAAGAGAGCTGCTGAGCTGTAGTCAGAAAGTGGTTTGAATTCAGTGTGCTCCAGTCTCGTTGTCCAGACTGCTGCCTCCATTATCTGAAAAATGAAATGAAATGTTGGTAAACCTGACCTTATTGTGCAATCAAATCATATTAACCTGGTTAGTGACCCAGGGAATAGGAATAACAAGAGAAGTTGACGAAAATCTTCCTGATACATAATGAATTAAAACAGCATTAGAACATAGAGTAGGGAAAACAGC